TTGGGCTTTGATATCTCTGAGAGAGTATGGTCCGGACATGATGTTAAATACTCTCATTTAAAGGTGCTTGGATGCAAAGCTTTTGCTCATGTAAGCAAGGAACAGAGACGAAAACTTGACGATAAAGTCATTCCTTGTATATTTCTGGGCTATGAAGATGAGGAATTTGACTACAGATTATGGGATCTAGAAAATCGAAAAATTATCAGAAGCAGAGATGTAGTGTTCCATGAGCAAGAAACTATGTCTGATTCTGCTTTACCAGAAATCAGAGAATTAAGTGGAAAGGTGGATCTTTCACTTATCAAACCTCCTGGAGATGCCACAGCAGGGGGAGAGTGTGATGGAGAACTCAGGGTTGATGACGAGCCAACAATAGAAGATGGTGATGGTGAAGGTGTTGAGCAGGAAGATCTCGAAGCTCCACCTCAGCTCAGGAGATCAAATCGAGCGATCCAACCGTCTACGAGATACCCTAGTTCCACGTATATTACCATTACTTAAGAAGGGGAGCCAGAAAGCTTTGAAGAAGTACAGACTCATAAGGATAAATCCCAGTGGATGAAAACTATGCAAGAAGAAATGGATTCACTGGTGAAAAATGAAACTTATGAGCTTGTGAAGCTTCATGAAGGCAGAAAAGCCTTGAAGAATAAATGGGTGTTCAAGCTTAAGAAAGATGGTGACAAGCTGTTGAAGTATAAGGCTCGCTTAGTCGTGAAAGGATTTGGACAAAAGCGAGGAATAGATTTTGACGAGATATTCTCTCCGGTTGTAAAGATGAGCTCTATTCGAGTAGTACTCGGATTGGTGGCTAGCTTGGATCTGGAGCTTGAACAACTAGATGTAAAAACTGCATTTCTTCATGGAGACCTAGATGAAGAAATCTACATGGAGCAACCAGAAGGATTTGAGAGGACCGGAAAGGAGCACATGGTTTGCAGATTAAAGAAGAAATTGTATGGATTGAAACAAGCTCCTAGACAGTGGTATAAGAAGTTTGACTCGTTCATGGCGAGCCATGGATATACCAAGACTGATGCAAATCATTGTGTGCTCGTTAAGAAATTTCCAGGTGATAGATTCATCATCCTTTTGCTATATGTAGATGATATGTTGATAGTGGGACAGAATATGAAGTTGATTGGTGATCTGAAGAAGGATTTAGCAAAGTCCTTTGAAATGGAGGATCTGGGCCATGCGAAACAAATTTTGGGCATGCAGATCATGCGAGACCGAAAATCCAAGAAGTTATGGTTATCGCAAGAACGGTATGCGAATCGGATTCTGGAGAGATTCAACATGAAATCGGCTAAGCCGGTCAATACACCGTTGGCCAATCACTTCAAACTCAGCAAACAAAGTTGTCCTACGAGTCAAGAAGAAAAAGAAACTATGGAGAGTGTTCCATACTCTTCGGCAGTCGGGAGTTTGATGTATGCCATGATCTGTACCAGATCGGATATCGCTCACGCGGTTGGAATTGTTAGCAGGTATCTTTCCAATCCTGGAAAGGATCATTGGGAAGCTGTGAAGTGGATCTTGAGGTACCTAAAAGGCAGTGCAAATAAGTCCTTAAGCTTCGGAAAAGGAAACCCAGTTCTTGAAGGTTATACAGATGCGGATATGGCAGGTGACCTGGATAGTAGAAAATCTACTTCAAGATTTGTGTTTACATTTGCAGGGGGAGCTGTATCTTGGCAATCTAAATTGCAGAAATCTGTTGCCTTGTCGACTACTGAAGCAGAGTATATTGCAATGACAGAAGCAGGAAAAGAAATGCTTTGGTTGAAGAGGTTTCTTCAGCAATTGGGAATGAAGCAGGAAAGGTACGATATCCATTGCGATAGTCAAAGCGCATTGGATTTAAGTAAGAATGCGATGTACCACTCTCGCACGAAGCACATTGATGTCAGATATCATTGGCTACGTCAAGCAGTGGAAGAACAACAATTCAGGTTGGAAAAGATTCACACTGACAAAAATCTTGCTGACATGATGACGAAAGTTGTAACAGGAGGAAAGCTTCAGCTTTTTGCCGAGTTGATCGGCATAGAATGCATATAAATAATTGCAGTATATTACCCTTTGGCTGGAGGGGGAGAATTGTGGGGTCCAGCCACATGCAATCAAAAGAATCAAGTCACAAACTTACAAAACTAATAGTTGGCAGAACAACTTTGTCCACATGGAGGAAAGCAATTATTGAAATGAAAAAGCAAGGAAAGAGTTGGAGCAATAATTTTTATCAGTTCACATTTAACATTTCCTTCTATAAATAGAGGAGTCTTCAGCTGATGAAGAATGCACCAAGCGAGAAGAAAAAAAGAGAGAACATGAGAGTACAGAAATAATATTTCTTTGTGTGTTATTTTTCAGTGAGATAAAAATAGAGTGTTTGAGTAAATCCTGTGGGTGTGGGAAAAATACACCGGGTTGGGTATCAACTCTATTACTTCTTGTTTAGGAGTGGGGTTTCACTGGGTCACTATATTTTACATTTCTTGTGTAGGGGGGTGTGAAAAGATATTGTAATTATCTTGAAAATATAGTGGAATTGTTCGGAGGTTGTCCCATGGTTTTTTCCTCTATTTGGAGGTTTTTCCACGTTAAATCTTGGCGTCTTATTTCTGGCATATTTTATTTATTTGGGATATTCTTAGTATGCTCTGTGGTCGCAGTTTAATCTGAACTTCCACATCAGAAAAGAATTATTCTGGTGTTATTGCAAGAGATTTTCTTTTGTCATTCTTGAGTTGCTGGGATTGAGATTATTGTTTACCATTTTACCTTGATATTTTAATTTACATTTTTCTCATTGCGCATCTGAGCCCAACAAATAGTATGAGAAAATTTGATTCGATTGTGTTCTCTATACGTGTTAGTTTCGAATCTTGATGGCGTTGGAACTTGGAATTACCAACGAATGTTTTCTTGTATCTGAAATTGAGTTTGTGAATCGATTTTTGAGTTTGTGAATTGATACGAGTCAAAACGTAATGATCAAATTTGATGTGATGTAAAGCAATAACATAATAATTATAATCATCTCATAGTTGAAAATATTTGGATGGATAAACAGTGCATTTTATTAGAAAATTGTGTGTAATGCTTATTGTTATTATTTAAATATTTGAAACGAGTTAAGTTGAATTAGGTTTTGAGTTAAAAATTCTTTTCCAATTGTGGATCCCTTTAAAAAAAATATCTTCAAAATTAAAATTAAAATTATAACCAATTAGCATAATGTTTTTGGGTTTAGATATCCATTATAACCAATTATCGACAATTTACTTCAGGCTGAATTCCATTTTTTATTATATTTTTGGTACATATTAAATTTTTATTTACCTATTCCATGCGCGCAAATAATTAGGTGTGCCTTGGCACACCTAGCAAGGTGTGCCAAAGCTTTTTTAAAATGAACATGTTTCATTACAAAATGAACATGTGTAAACATATTTACACATGTTCATTTTGTAATGAAACATGTTCATTTTAAACTGCATTAGCACACCTTGCTAGGTGTGCCAAGGCACACGGTAGTAGCACTACTCCATGCGAGTCCATGTCATAACAATTACTAATAAAATTAGTTTCTCAACAAACACAAATTGCCTAATTTTCGACAGTTAGACCATTAAAATTTATTTCAGACTAAATTCACTTTTCATTGTATTTAATTTTTATTTATCAACTCCATTTGAGTCCATGTCCCAACAATTATTATTAAAAAAATATAATAGTCATCCATTTCAATTTCAATACACATACAATCAAATAAGAGAAAAAAATATACTGTGACTTTGCCTATACAACACGTAACAAATACGATCCACATGAATTAACATGGCAAAAATATCAAGAGAACCCTTATCTAATAATTTTATTTGTGGCTAAGGGCATCCAAATACCACATCGAAGTTGATCACTGAGTTTTTAAATATGGACATTTCCCCCCTCAGAAAGAGACCTTTTGGGTACGACTGTAAACGAGCTGAGCCGCGTTGAGTTGTGCTCGTTAACTTAATGAGCCAATAGTAGAGCTCGAGCTAGGCTCAATTATCGTTATTTAAAAGCAGAACTCGAACTTTAACAAGTCTAATTATAGAAAATTATATATATACATATAATATCTTTCCGAGCAGAGTCGAGCTCAAGCGACAAGCCTTACAAGCAACGCGTTTTGTTTAACAACTCCAATCATAAGTATTCTCTCTTAAATTTGTTGGATTTTATAGGACTTCTGAATAGGTCGACCTGTCTAAAAGTCCTATAAAATCCAACAAATTTCTGCCACCATCAAAACAACAACAAAACGAGGGAGAAAGAAAATGTCGATCATGTCGATCTTTGAACAACAATTCATCATACCTCTCTTTTCCTTCTTCTCCTTCATCTTCTTCATAATCCTATTCCAGAAATGGACTTCTTCCGATGGCCGGAAAAACTTGCCGCCATCTGCAAAAGGACTTCCGGTTATCGGAAACCTCCACATGCTCGGAAAATCTCCTCACCGTTCACTACAGTCTCTGTCGAGACGTTATGGCCACGACGAGCCCTTGTTGCTTCATTTCGGCAGCTTGCCGGTTCTTCTTGTCTCGTCGGCAAAAGTTGCACGTGAGATAATGAAAAACCAAGACTCAATCTTCTCAAACAAGCCCAAACTAAGCGTGCCAGATAGGCTCACGTATGGCTCACGTAACGTGGCTTTTACTGCTTATGGAGAATATTGGAAACAGGTGCATAAACTCGACTAGTACATATATGTATTATTGCATGTATATATATATACTCCATAGATTCATTATTTTTTGGATGTGTCCTGCAGATGAGAAGCATATGCGTGCATCAGCTTTTGAGCAACAAAAGAGTTCAATCTCTTCGCCATATACGCGAACAAGAATTCGAACATGATCAACAAAATTAGGCATTTGGGATCTTCTTCATCGATCAACTTGACCGATCTTTTTTCCTCACTGACAAACGATGTCATTTGCATGGCATTGTTTGGTAGGAAATACGATGGTGAAGATGGGAAGAAGTTCAAGAAGTTAATGAAAGAGGTCAATGATTTATTAGGTAGCGCGAGCATAGGGGAATATATACCATGGTTGGGTTGGATTAGTCATGTTAACGGGTTATATGCAAAAGTCGAGAGAGCGGCTAAACTGTTTGACGATTTTTTGGAGACTGTGATTCGAGAACATAATAAAGGTTACGACAAAAAATACGAACACGGTGGAGATAAAGAGTCGTATTTCATCGACAGATTGCTCCAACTTCAGAGAGAGAGTATAAACAGCAGCTCGCCTATTATAGATGATACGGTTAAGGCTCTTATCGTGGTAAGAAAAAACACATTTTTCACATGTTTTTTTCACGATAAACGCGATAAATTTTTCCTTAAAGCATAGTTTTTGCTAGGCAAAATGTTTACCCGGACGATCAATCTTTTCATGGCAGGACATGCTTACTGCTGGAACCGACACCACAGTCACAGCTCTCGAGTGGGCAATGGCAGAGCTTATAAAGAATCCACGAACCATGAAAACCCTACAGAACGAAGTGCGAAAAGTTGTCGCGAGTAATAACAAAGATACAATAAACGAGGATGATATCGAAAAAATGCCTTACCTCAAAGCAGTGATAAAAGAGTCATTGAGACTCCATTCGCCAATTCCTTTGCTCATGCCTCACGAATCCACTCACGACACGAAAGTCATGGGCTACGATATATCTGCCGGGACAAGGGTCGTGATAAACACGTGGGCCATCGGGAGGGACCCAACATCTTGGGCCGATCCTGAAAATTTTATTCCCGAGAGGTTCTTGAATTCGGAAGTTGATTTCAGAGGCAAACATTTCGAGTTAATCCCGTTTGGCGCTGGCCGAAGGGGATGCCCTGGGATTAATTTCGGTGTGGCTGTTGATGAGCTTGGATTAGCCAAGTTGGTGTACCATTTCGATTTCGAACTGCCGAATGGAGAAAAGGGAGAGGATTTGGATATGAGTGAATCTGGAGGAATAACAGTTCATAAAAAGCTTCCAATGCTTGTGGTTGCCACTCCATATAATTGTGTTTTAACAGTTTAACTCCATTTGAAAGCCTAGTAAACTCGATCAAACGATATGCCGTATTAAGCGTGTTGCGATTTCTAGACAAAGCATATTTAGCAATATTTCAGACAAGTTTATCTATTAATTTGTGGTCTATCTGTTCAATCATTCTCTGCTTCAGACACAATATTCAGAAATGATAGAACATAGCAAACACACTGACGCAGTCACTTAAGTTCTTGATATGTGCTAACTTCGTGCAAAAATCTTGTCCATTCACATATTTCCACAACATTATATCACACAAATCGTCCAAAAAGCAAAAGCGAAACGAAAAATAAACATTTTGTAAACAAAAATGATCTTCCTTCTTCCCTTTCTATTATTTTTGGCTTACATTGTGGAGAGCTTTGTGGGTTCGAAGATACGGGCCTGTAGCAATTGCAAAACGGGTCGAGCCCGAAAGAGTGTTCCAGTTTCTTGGTCTAAGGCCTCAGTTACAATTTAACCTTTTT